TACTGTACGTGAAGAGCTTGAACGGTGTTCCGAAGAGGCATTGCGCATTCACCTGTCGAATCCCTACAACTTGGCATACTTGATGTCAACTCAAATCGCCCGTCTTGCTGAGCAGACCATGCGCGGATACACTCCAATGTGGGGCTGGTACGAATTGTTCCGATATTGGCGATTCGTCCTTGAGCAACGTGTACACCTTCTTCGACTATGGATGTCCACTGATGATCGCGAAAGCTGTAGACAAAATGCCCACGGAATCGTGCTGCTGACGGGCGGCATTGGCTTGGTGCAGGGCAGTCTGCTCGCAATGGAGTTAGCAATGGGCTGTCAAGCCGACCTAAATTAGGGACGTTCGAGCCAAAGACTCCCACATCCGTGGAAATCAGCGCAGCTTTCTTCTTAAATCGTGGCGCTAGCACCTATCTTTCCTCGCATGTCTTGCCTGGTACTCGCAAATTCCAATTGCTCCTCCGCAATGCTTATCACACTTCTCTAGTCCAAATCCTGAGTGACATTAGACAGCTTCTACCCTACATACAGTCAATTCCAATGCACATCGTTCTTACCAGGTAGTCTTTCGGTACCCTTGAAGCCAAGCGTCGTTGTTGATAAGATCGGAGGCTCGTTCTGCCATCATGAGCACTGTGATCATCGGGTTGACCGTGGGCAACAAAGGCATGAGGCTGGCGTCGCATACACGCAAGCCTTTCAAGCCTACCACTCTTAGATCAGCCTCGTTGACAACTACGAGTGGGTCGGTCGTGGATGGCGTGCCCATTCGACAGGTTCCTGCGAAATGGGCTTAGGTGTGAGCGCTACAACCCAATTGCCACAGGCCTACCACGCGCATCTTACCTGCTGGGTGGTACACGGTATGTGCTGCGCGTCGTGCGTACTCGCTAATCTCCTCATCAGTCTCTACGTTAGGTCCAGGTGCCACTTCCTTGACGATGTGTTGGGAGAAGGGCGCACTATTTGCGATCTTGCGTGCCAGATGAATTCCTTGAACGAGGACCTTTGCGTCGTAATCATTGGCATCCTCAAAGTACCGGAAGTTCAAAAGCGGTTTCTCGGCAGGATTGTTGGAAGCTAAACTCAACTTGCCCTTGGCCTGAGAACGTGGGATGTTGGGCGTCATGCAGATCGCATTCTTTGGACGCTCGTATCTGGTGACGCGATTCAGGCACTGCCAAGTCAGCTCGACCAGATGTCGACCACCGGATCCGGCCAGAGGACTCACCCCATGCGTTCTGTGTTGTCCGCAAAGGGCACTTGATATATCTGTCGTTGGTGGGAAAGGCATCATGAGGGTGCTAGTTGCTGGCGACGGCTGACTCTGTGCAAGCTTACGTGAAACATGAGGTCAGGGATCTTGCTCATCTCCTGCTCCATAGCCTTCCATGGCTCAGCCGACGAGGGGAAGATCCTCAAAAAGAGACCCGCATCGGAGCTCATGACTGTCTCTGGCGGAGTGTGCCGGGTCTCCGCCATCCAGATGCTTTCAGGGTGATCCACTAGATTTTCCCCGACTCCCGGGAGATCGTGGTGGACTGGCACGCCAACGTTTTCGAGCTCTGCTTTTGGCCCCACGCCGCTGAGCAAGAGCAGGCGGGGAGTGTCGATAGCACCGGCTGCCAGGATGACCTCGCGCCTTGCAGTGATGGTCTTTTCGAGGCCGTACTTGGTACGCACCGCGACACCCCGAGCCCGCAGAGAATCGTGCTCGTCCCAGACTAGATGTCTAGCCCAAGTCTCGAGGAAGAGGTGCAGGTTGTTGCGTCTCTGCGGGCTGTGGGGCATGATTGGGTGAAGGTAGGCGGTCGATGCGCTGCTCCTCTGGCCGTTATGAGGGTCGTATGAGATGTTGAAGAAGCCCACTCCGGAAGAGAAGCCACCCTTGTGAACGATTTGGGCGTTGAAATCGTCGATGACCGGCGCGCCTGTCGCTGAGCTTGCAGCGGAAACCCAGTCGCGCACGACATTGTTCCTTTGTTGATGAGCGACAGGTAACGTATTGAGCTTCAGGCGATCTCCATAAGGCTGTATTGTCTTGCTGTCCCAAGAAGGGCAGCCAAATTCCTTTGCCCAAAGATCCAGATCCTCGTTGAATGGCCGGAAGCTGATGAGCGTGTTGTGGCTCGAGCTAGGAGACAATTTCCGCAGGCGCATGAGCGACGCCTCTCGCCCAACAATCCGAAGGGAAGCGGGACTCACCAACCGCCCAAGACACGGGCACGACTGTGCCTGATGTGCGAGTTGCCCCTTGGCTGCTCCGTCGTTGGATAGTCGTAATCCAGCTCAGAGCCGAGCAGCTCCAGCCAGCGAGAGAGATCCAGCACGCTGAGGCAAGGAGAGGACCGCATTTAGCCAGAGCTCACCTGCACTCTAAGGGCGCTGAAGAGCTCCTTGCACTTTATTCATGCACTCACACGTCAAGACCGACATCACTGGGTCCTCCCTCTATCACGGCTACTGTCGCACCGCTGTCTTGTGTGAGCCTATTGGCTAGAACAGCACCAGCGGTACTGCACAGGATGAACGGAATGAACTTGTCAGCGCAAAATCAGACAGAGGGTGGGACGCAGGGACACCTGACTACCTCACCCGCCGCCAACCTGCATCGGAAAGATGGGGTTGAGGTGAAGGTAGTGCGTCAGAATGATGTGAGATGGATATGTGAGGCGCTAAGCCGGCTGCCAGTGGCCGCGCTGCACTCACGATGACATAGTCGAACTCAGTCTGGCCCTGAGGTAGCAGATGGGAAGCCAAAGATGCGAGGCGCTCGCGCGCCGTGGGAGCAGCTTTGGAAGTCGAGCCTACTTTGGGGGCTGGCTCAATGGTCTGGCCATGGACCGCACCTTGGTCGTTCTTGGGATGAACGCCAGTCATACTGAGTTAGTTGTCCGGGCAGGGAATGAAGCAGCAGAGACACTGGATGAGGTTCTGAAAAGGGAGGTGCGAAGCAGTGTGATGAGGTGGTGTTGAAGGCAGAACAACGAGCGAGAACAGCTGGGTAAAGGCTCTTATACGTAGAAGAGGCACGATGGGGAGGAAAAAAAAAAGTTGGAATCGCCTCTGTCTCCCTTTTCGCAGCCATCTATCTCACAGCCACTCACGACTTGAAGCCAGCAGCCCTTCGTGCGTGGTGGTTCCTGCATGCATAATATATAAGCATCGCGTTCGCACATCTCACAAGCGTCGTGCGCAACAAGAAAGCCACGGAAAGGGCGGGCGGATATACTCACTGACTAGCTGTGACTCGTGACTGTAACACAGTGACTGTAGGGGTACATATGCGTGTAATGAGGGCCCATATATCTTGCATGCAGCTTGTAGGAGACCGCCATATACACAAGCAGTAGACGCATGGAGAGGAGCCGAGGCTGAAAAGTGAAGCCGCGGCAAAGTAAGGCAGTCACGTGTCGGAGATGGCGTAAGCGGTCCGCTCTCAACTTCCGACTTGTATTCAAACTTCAAGATTTAAATGTGAATGTGAATCGTGAACTGGCTCGCGCCCCCAAGTCTTGGAGCGCGCATATGATTCGTGATGGCGATTGAGTGCACGGGTGCGTGGTCAGCCATGCACGCACCAAAGCGAGCAGCGCACATCTGCTGTAAGTGTTGGTTGACACCAGGAGGGAGACACATGCGGGGTGGTTGCCGAACACCACCGCCATAGCCTTCGATCATCACCTCCCTTTGCGATCCATCGCCACACACGCGTTTGACCTCCAGCTACGCACCCAAAGTGCACCAGAGTGCTGCGGTCCTTGGATAGGGGTGTGCATTACGGCTGCTAGGGTGGGCTCAAGAGGCAGGATCAAGTAGTATTGATTACAGAGGGCATCAGTACTAGCCTGGACAGGCAGCAAGGCACGATGAATGAGGCAGCGAGGAGGGCGCTGCTAGAGAGTGGGGAGGATGAGGCAGTGACGGTCAATCAGAGGGTGAGCATGTTGGAACTTCGGAGCATACGTGCACTTGGTGCCGGAATATCGTTGTTTACCTCCCAGATCCCTATGTTTACAACTAGGCTCTTATTGACAAGGTGAGAGCTGATGGGCTCGGACATGCGCTGAACATTGGGCTTAGCGTGTCATTCTTCTCCTGTGCTCCCCATCCCTGTTTCAGATTCTCGCCCGATATGCAGCCGAGTTCACCATCTTCCGAGAGCTGATTCAGAATGCTGATGATGCAGGCGCCACAACCTGCGAGTTGCGCTTTGAAAGCGCTAAGCACTGTGATGAGCGCGATGCTGCCACGACTTCCCCAAGTGCAGGTGATCCTTTGAGCGTCAATGCAGAAACGAGGGCCGTCGCGAAGCCGAAGGCGCCAGATTTCAGTGCAACACTTCGCAATTGGGTCTTTAAGAATGATGGAGCGGTTCTCAATGATCAGGACTGGACCAGACTAAAGGTAAGGTAAGGAGAGGTCCGGCATGCCCGGCCATCTAGCGCGACTGACATCCATCCGTCGCTATCTCAGCGCATTGCTGAAGGAAATCCGGACGAGTCTAAGATCGGTGCATTTGGTGTGGGCTTCTACAGTCTCTTCAGCGTGTCCGAAGAGCCGTTGGTGGCCTCAGGTGCCGACTTGATGGGCTTCTTCTGGCGGACAGACTCTCTCTTCACGCGTCGGGCCAAAGCTCCTACAGTCGAGATGACGGTCGAGGGCAAGCCTTGGACGAGTTTCTATCTGCCTCTGCGCGAGCCAGCGCCCTTGGCCGACTCGGTGCTTGACTTGACTCGCTTCTTGGCCACCAGCTTGACATTTACGACGCGGGTACGCAATCTCGATCTGTACTGGGATGATGTGCCACTCGCACTGCTGTCAAAGCAGCTTGGCAAAGCTCAACCGCTCGCGATGCCCTCGCATCTCAACGCTACTAGCCCGCACAGGATGATGCGCGCTACGCGTCTGGATGCTACCGGCCTGCAACTGGACGTCAAGGTCAGCCAAGCGATCTTGAGGCTTGTCAAAGAAGAGCAAGCACTCGCCAGCATCAAGGCAAGTCTTGCCAATGCTTTTACTAAGTCGTCAGGCAATTCGAGTGGTGGCTTTGGGGCGTTACTAGGCGGCATGTTCGGACGCAGCACTGCCAAGGCGAAAGCGGCGGAGGCTAGTGCCGCTGAAGCACTAGCTGCACAGCAAGCTGAGCAGGCGCTGGAGAAAGCTAAAGCTGCCGATGCAGCTGCTGCTGCGGCTCGCTCCGCCACCGAGCTTGTCGAAGCCTCAATACATATCAGTGTTGCAACTGCTACAATCACAGTCACTGCTGACAAGGCGTTTTCGAAGGAGATTGAGCGGTCCACCAAAAAGCCGCCGCCTCGTGAAACGAAGGTCAGCATCATCAAACAGAGTTTGGAAGAGCATGACGCCAGTCTGAAAGGCGCCTTGGCCGAGCCGGTCGCAGGCGCCGAAGAGAGTGCAGAAGTCAAGAGGACAAGAAGAGGTCTCCGAGAAGTTTTCAAAGGTGTCCTCCCAAGCTTGGAAGAGCAGGGATACGTCTTTATCGGCTTCAAGACGTCTCAGTCGAGCGGCTTTGCAGGCAATCTCGCCGCAAGATTCATCCCTACGGTTGAAAGGGAAGCGATCGACTTCATAGATCGCTATTGTGCCATCTGGAACAATGAGCTGCTGGCGATGTGCGGCTATCTCACGCGAGCTACCTACGAAGCCGAGCTTGCGCGCATTGCCATATTTTGGGACCATCAAGTGGGCAACAAGCGACCCAAGGATGATAATTCTGACGCGGCGCGCGCCTTGGACAAGGCATTGCACACCATGCGATACCTAACGTTCAAACCCTCTACACCGGCTGCAAGAGTCTCCACGGTTCTGGAGACAAACTTTTTCGCAGCAGCAAGGCAAAACACCCTCACCCTTGCTTCGACTAGAGGAGTCAAGCCTTCTGCGCAGATCAGATTTCCAAATGCTGAACTTGCAGAGTTCGTCAAGGATCTAGCAGTCATCCCTCCCGCGCATATTGAGAAGGCAGACGTCTTCATGCTTGCTGTCAAGACTCGTGGCCTAGCACGCGATATTACCATCGACGATGTCTTCGGTGAGCTTAGCAATCGTGCTCTCTCGCCTCCAGAAATGGTGAGTGGACCAGTCCTAGGCCTGGTGTCGTGAACTCAATTGACAATTTGGTCGCCCTTCGCAGGTTGCTGCTTTAAAATGGTGGCTCAGAGTAGCCGCTCACCCATCGTTCGACAGCTCTTTGCAACAACGATTCCTCGATGCTGCCATTGTGTCGTGCCCGGCTACCGAGAAGGCGCAAGAGAAGGCACAGCCCTTAAATGCTGTGGAACACTGGCTGAATCCTCAGAGGATCCCACCAGAAATGAGTTGCCCGCCCTCTTGTCTGGCCTATGAGGTGTCCAAGGAGCTCAGTACGCAGGAACTACTGAGAGTCTTCGGCTGGAAGGAGCTTAACCATGCTGTCTGGCTTCGTTATCTGGTGCGAAGCAGTTCCAACTCATCCACCTCTGATGAGTCCACCAACTTGCAGCTTTCACCAGATTTTGCGGAGCGTGTGCTGGGCATCTTGGCTCGTGCTTGGGGTCAAATCTCCTCTTCGTTGCAGAAAGAAGTCACGGAAGTGCTTTCGAACGTCACATGCATTCCGACTGCGAAGGGCATGTCCAAGCCTGCTGACGCTTACATGCCGCAAGGTAAGAGTTGCTGATACAAGTGATGTGACTTCCACACACATGCTGACCCGCGTCGACTTGACCCGTGATTTTCAGTCGTGCTCTTTCCAGATCTGCCCACTGTCGCACTTCCGTCGACACCGGTCAAGGGAAACATGGAGAAACTCTTGCAGGCTCTTGGCGTCAGGTGAGGCCTAGAATTCTGGCACTCAATTTTCTGCAGTCTGACTTCATGCTGCTCGTGTCTTGTGCGCAGACGTCACGTGCAGCTGCAACTCGTATTTGACAGACTCGTTGGAGCCGGTGCATGGGACGTCACACAATTGCTGGCATACCTCGCAACGAATCGAGATTCGCTCTCCAAGCTAGAGTTGGACCGGCTCAAAAAGACGCCCATGTTTCGCGAAGCACCCAAGAAAGGCGAGACGCAGGGACCGAGACGGACTGCTTCGCAGCTTTACGAGCCGCTTGAAGAGCTAATAGCCTTGGGCCTACCAACGCTCGACTGGCCTGGCAAGTCATGGCGAGCCACTTCCGAGGAGGCCAAGTTCGCCTTCAGTCTGGGGCTGCTCAAGTTCCCTCCGCCTGAGCAGCTCCTAGAGCTAGCATCGAAGACAAGTGACGATATCGAACGTCGAGAGAAGGCCCTTGCCTACTTTTTCAAGCACTTTGAGCTAGTGTACGCGCCCATCTACTCTAGGGACAGCATGGCCGGCTTTGCGTTTGTTCCAGCGCTTCAAGGTGAAGAGCGGACCCCCGTCCTGCTGGGTCCAAATGACGTGTTCAAAGCCTCTGGCAGCCTCTACCTGGGCCTGGCGGTCGTTGACGAGCAGAAGTTAGCAAAGAGGGACATTGCCAAGCTGGGCTTGCGTGAGCATCCTACGGGCGCAACAATCCTTCGAGCCTTGCAACAAAACCCGCCTATTACGACTACGATACCTCGCGCGAAGCGTATCTTCGAATACTTGGCGGGGACGAGCGAGCTCTCCGGTGCGCAACTTGCGACTTTGAAGAACACACCATTCATCCCAATTTTCAAGACCAAGACTCGCGTTGCTGCGCACGAAGAGAAAGCAAAGGCCTCTGCAGACATTGTGCTGCAAGCACCTTCGGACTGCTACTTTGCATCGGTCGCCGACCCGAGCAGCGGCAGTGAGCCACTGTGGGCCGACATCTTCTCGTACATAGACTTTGGGCCAGAGACAGTCCCTTTCCTCCGATCGTGTGGTGTCACCGCCCAACCGACCGTGCAGGAGATAGCTGCTCGAGCCGTGCGACAACCTACCCGCTTCTTCGCCGCAGGCGAAGATGCCTACCTCGGAATCCTTCGGTCTATCGCAGCTAGCTGGAATCAGATCAGCCAGCAACTTCGTGCTGAGATGCGAGCCTCGCCCTTCTTGTTCGCTACGAAGCGAATGGAGAGCACAGCCAAGGCTGATGACGAGAAGGTTGCAGATGAGGATGTAGATGATCTCGACGAGTTGGGCTCTCTAGTCCATCTGAAGGCTGCCAGCGAGATCGTGGTCAATGACGATCCGACGTCATACTTGCTGTTCGGGTCCATGGTCTACTGTGCACCCATGGAAGACGCGTAAGTGTGTTTTGGACGCTACCCAGGCTCGCTTGCTGCTTACGCTTGCTTGTCGCACGCCTTTAGCTTGCAAGAACTTTACACTCGGCTGGGCTCTCCTGCTTTGAGCTCGCTCATTGAACAGAAGTGGCGGACCGAGGGTCGCCCGCAAACCAATACGCCTACAACCAAAGCAGTCCGTCAGCGTATCCTTGAGCGCACGCCCCTCTTCTTCTTTGAGCAGCAGCTTGCAAAGTCAGACATTCATCGAGATGTTGAATGGCTGAAGAAGGAGACAAACTTCGAGGTGGTTGAAGTCCCCTCTTTGAGCTCCACCCGAATGCTTCGCTTTCGTGGTATCAGTAGTAGCAGGGCGACGGCCTGTACTGCCCTGGCAAGCTCGACGGGCGGCTTGCTGGGCGGCAAACTGATCTTGTACCTGGTCAATGATCCTGATCTGTACGAAGTCGCCGAGCACGTCACCCGCAACATCATCAACAGGAGGCGCGGTGCTCAGATGGTGCCGCTGTATCACATTCTACTTTCTGCAAGCCTCATGACCCTCAAGCGACGTGGCTTCCACGTCGACAAAATCATTGCTCAGCACAAGGCAGCACAACGCGACCAGCGCGAAGCTATGGCGCGCGAAGAGCGTAAGCGCGCAGAGCTGGAAGCTATCGAGCGTTCCAAGGAGCCACCTATCAGCGATTCTCAATTTGCTGAATGGCAACGTCAAGTACTCGCACGCTTTCCTGATGCGGACCCCCAATACGTGGATAGCCTCTTACGATCTCTCAGGGACGATCACTTGGAACGCGCCGCTTCCGAGATGACCAAGCATGCCTATCCGAAAACGGGACCGGGTTCAAAAGCAGGACGAGAATTGAGTGGTTCCAAAGAGCTTGATGGTCTAGACGAGAAGTCAGGCTTTGCCGATACGAAGGCGCCGGGAGGCGGTGGCATACTCTCAAATTGGCGCAGCAGGCTCTCGACCACTCGACAGCGTGATGGTCCCTCTTCTCTTGCAGCTGGTACCTCGAGTATCGATCGCGGACCCAATCTGCCCGGTGCTTTCGACTCACTGATAGCCGCCGCTGGACGATCGAGTCAGGGTCAGTCTGGAGTTGGAGGCAGCTTACCTCTTGGCACTGGTGCGCGAGGTGGGGACGCAGAACAACCCTCAGGCTTGGCCGATATCCGCAAAAGCGTCATGCAGGCCATTCACGCCTCGCGACCTGAAAATGCACGGAGCATCGAAGCGGAAAGACAATCGACTCAGGTCAAAGAAGCAGAGCAAACTTACTGCGATCAAACGACAGGTGCCAACCTTAAGCTTGTTGGTCACGTTGCAGAAACTTCGGTATACCTTTCTCCAGAGCTTGATCCACGACAGACTATGGATCGTAATGGAGCGGCGCTCAAACGCTTCATCACGCGAGTCCTGAAGCCGGTTGCCGTGGATGTCTTTGGCATTGACCCTCGCGCTATCAGCGTCTTCTGCGACGTAGTTGGCCCTGCAGTAGCGTTCAATCGTGGCGGTCATCTTTTCTTCAATCTTCGCTACTACCTGGCTTGGCACGACGAACAGGTGAAGAATAATAACCTCACAGTGGCGCTCATCAGCACAGCAAGCTCCGTGGCCCATGAAGTTGCTCACAATCTTGTCGCTCAACACGACTCGCAGCACGAGTGGTACATGCAGTCGATTGCGGAAGAATTCTTCCTGCCCATGGCTGCTCTGGTCGCCAAGTGTCAACGGGAGCGACAGCAGCTCATGTCCTAGAATCTCTCACCCAAATGAAGCATATCACACCGAGCTCAGCTGTGACCATGCAGACGTAATCTTGCTGGCTTTGTCTTCCACCCAGTGTCCAAGCGAACAACGTTGTATCTCTTTCAGGCTGCTATCCACGCGTCCACATTTGTTTGTATAGATCCAGCTCACTTTTTCAAAGCAATCGCATATCTCTTCTTGCTTTCGTGGTGCGTTTAGTAATCGCAAGCACATCTCAGCTTTATAATCGCCAACTATTCGACTCGATTTCAGGGGAACGTCTTGACTAAGTCTCAAGTGTCATATTCCACCTTCACGTCCAAAGCCCATCGCCCGCCCCAAAACGTGCAAGGTCTTGTCTACTCAGAGGTGCGCTGTGCAAGACTATTCGGAAGGTCAGTGGTGCCTCACATCGTGTGGCAAGCCTGAAAGTGACACCTCGAACAGCATGGCGCTGCTGTCTTGATCAAATGCTTGCAGAATTTGATACGAAAGCAAGGGTATAACATAAGGTGACGTTCAGCAGCACCGCTTCAAGCGCTGGTAGGATTCGGAATGCCGTTCCAGATCCATGCTAGCCAACCAGCGGGAGGTCCAGTTTTGCTCCAATCTCTAAAGACAGCGCCCAATCCCACATTGAACGTGCCGTTGCCTCTCCAGCCCCTGAGCATCCAAGCGCTCAGACCGCCTCCTATCAGGACCACCGAAAAGTAAAAGGCCCACCGAGTCTTCGTACCACCAAACCCAAGCGCTCCGGTCCCATTGTCTCCGCCCGGTATGGCTCCGCGCGGGTTCAAAGCTGTTGCGCAGACCACCTGAAATAGATCTGCTACTTCCCCCGTTCGGATCGAGATGTTGAGAGGCCCGGCACCATTGCCCAGTCCGGGTATTTTCAAGCCCAGCTTGGAGCAGTACACGTGAGGCTGCACTTCGTGTCGCTGTTGAGCCAAGTCGAGGTCGGCTTTGGTGGCGATGAAAAGAGACGGACACTGCGTGAGGGTGGGATACCTCTGGCGCAAATTGGAAATGTAGGAGAAAGAGTTTGTGTCGGAGCTGTCGTAGACGAACAGGACAATGTCTGCTGCGGACACCTTGGCCGCGTTGCGCAAAGCTTCAGATTCATATCTCGAGCCAAATTCTTGGAGCTGACGAATGAAAAGTAGGAGCAGCGTGCAATGAGCGCACTGATCAGGTCAGGCCTTGACGCGCGCCTCCGACTCACGACGAGATACTTTTCTGCGCCACCCTGCTCGATGCCACAGACGACACTGCAGCTCCTTCCAGTAGGCTGATATGTCTCTTCAAAGGCACTGCCAACCATATTTCTCAGAATCGAGCTCTTGCCGCTCCCAGCCGCGCCGACCACATAAGCCAGCAAGACATTTCTCTGCAGCTTCCCCTTCTTCTTCTTGTCGACCCTGCGCGGATTTGTCAATTGCAGCGCGGTCGTCGTGTCCGCTGGGCGTGCCGAGGCTCCCGAATTCGACTTTGACCTGCCGCCTTTGCCCAGCGAACTGGCACTCGTACTGTTACCCGAGCGCCCAGCCGCAGCCGCCCCTGCACCAATTCCTCTTGCGGTGGCATTTGAGGAGGGCGATGCGGAGGCCGAAGCGATGAGAGAGGGGTAGCCAAGGTAAGCGAGCCAAGCTAATGTAGTCCGTGGCTCCAAAAGTGTCGTCATGCTCCACTGCGCAAGCCAGCCCTGCAGAGTGACCCTGCCAGCTTCGTCGGTGACAGTAGTACCCTGAGGAAAGTCCTGGCTCCAAGGATGAGCTCCCGCAAGATGCGTGTGGGTAGCTGGTACAGTAGAGAAGAGCGCTGACAGCTCTCGCTTCGACAGCGAGCCGTCCCGATCTTTGTCGTGCGCTTCAAAGACGTCCGTCAAGAACTGATAGCCATGCGGGCTAAGCTCCACTGAACAATCGGACGGCACATTGAAAGCGGGCGATACGAAAGACTCTTGCAGAAAGAGGTCCGAGCCGTACCCAAACGTGCGCAGCACTGTCCAAGTCGTTTCTAGCCTTCCTCGCTGAATGAAGAGCGTGTGGAGATACAGAAAGCCAGAGAGCGTAAGGCTGGAGTTCCTCAAGTGCGGATGAGGACGCTTTGAAGAGTTGGAAGCCATGGCGTGATTGTGTGGTCCTGCTGTATTGTCAGTGGCAGTTCCTGCATCTGAAAAGGACCCAGTGGCTGACAGATCGTCGTAGGGAAACCTGTTTCCAGCAACGGGAGCTTGCAACACCAAATCCTTGATGCCTTCCAGCTCGCTAGCCTGCAACGGCGCATCAAAGCATTTTCTTTGAAAGTCGTTGAGCTCAGCATCGGATAGCAGGCCATCTTTGTCACTGTCGCAGAGTCTGAATATCCGTCTTAGAGCGTCTACGCAGTTGGGCTTGAGCGCGTGTGCCTTGGAGTCGTAGAGCGGTGCAGTCGGGTAGAGCACGGCTTTCTGGGCGAAATAGAAGACCTCGCTGACGTTGAGTGATAGCTTGCTCGAACACTCTACGCAAGTCTCCACCTCCTTGAACTCGCCCATCACCGGCGCCAACTCGGATTCAAGCAACGAATTGGGCAAAGGCGAAGTGCGTTGATCGATCTGATTTCCCACCAGGATGACCGGAACGTTGACGCCTAGTGACCGAATATAGGGCAACCAGTAGGTTGGCAGGCGTTCGAATGTGGATGTGTGTGCTACCGAGTACACCATACAGATGACCGACGCCCTCCGCAATTCCGAATCCAGGTGACCTCGATCTTCAGGTCCAGCTGCAAGAGCGGTGCAAGAATACCAAGGAAGGCGGGAGTTAGAAGATGGCGCATGTCTTCAGCCCTGTATGCTGGCAGCAGAGCAGGCTGACGCTGATGATGCACGTCCAAATCAGCAGGTGCGTCACCTATGCGGCACTCACAACAAGTGTCGATGATCTTTGTGCTGACTCCTTCTGGACACACATCGCTGGGCAACGTGATCTCCGGTATCCTCTTCTGCACCCTCTCCACAAACGTTTCCTTGATCAAGCTCGTGATGAGCGTCGATTTGCCTACTCCCGCATCTCCCGCCAAGACGATTCTCACGTCTGACCTCATGGCCGCCGTATTTGATGTTCAGGGAGCACCGAAGGTGAATAGAACGTCGAGTGATGAAGTCGACGCCGCGGCTACAAGACGATGCAGATGATGTTCACAGTCGTTTCCGCCGCCTCAGTCGCACTCAAAGTCGAAGCAGTGACCCGAAATTATCGAAAGGCTGAGAGAGAGATGAAGTGTGAGTATCTTTACTGGCGCAAGTCCAGTGGTGTGGCCCAAAGAGGATCAAAAACAAAACGAAGAAATGTCAGGCGGGTGGGTGACTATGAGACGTCAGTCACGAGTTTTGAGTGCCGGTTTCCAAGAGCGCTTGCGGAATCGCGCGCAAACTACACCACGTGACGACGCGTGTAGAGGTCCGCTTGTCCCGGCTTGTGCAAGCCTACTTGACTCACATGCTTCTGATTCACGATTGTATCCATTCATCGTGAGCACATCATCATCAGATTACGCCTCAACACGAATACGAGTACAGTCAGACGCTCATGATCTCATCTGATGCCTTTCGCAAAGAGATACGACCGCT